CATACATGAAGCCCTGGGTTCGATTCCTCAGCACCACATAAACAGAAAATGTCAGAAGTGGTGCTATAGCTTAAGTGGTAGAGCATTATTAGCCTTGAGCAAAAGAAGCTTAGGGACAGTGCCCAGGCCTAGAGTTCAACCCAACGACCCATTTAAAAAAAAGAGAGTCGGGCGCTGGTGGCTACTCAGGAGTCTGAGATCTGAGGATCTCGGTTCAAAGCCAGCCTGGGTAGGAAAGGCTGAGACCCTTATCTCCAATAAACCACTAGAAAACTGGAAGTGGCGCTGTGGCTCAAGCAGTAGAGTGTGCCTTGAGCTGAAAAGACAAGAGAGATTTGAAGATCACAGTTCAAAGCCAGACCAATCAGGAAAGTCTATGAGATTCTTTGATTCTACTAAAGGGCCAAAGGGGGAGTTGTGGTTCAACTGGTAGACCACTAGGTTTGATAGCACCAGGCCCTGAGTACAAGCCAAAGACTGACATAAAAAAGGAATCAAGGTAGTTACAATTAAAGCATCAAATTAGTTAAGATTAAAGCTAGTGACTACAGTCTAGGAAATAGGATCCCCTGAGGAAACCCACTCCAGACATATCTAGCCAATCAAAACAAAACCACAGGTTAGAATGGCCTTAGTATGAGGCAAAATTTCATTCTTTCTGGGAAGAATGGATTTGTTTAAACAAAGGTTGGTCTCTGTAAAAATTTCCAGAATATGATGTAACAAATGTATGAGCCTGAACAGGAGAAAGTGGAGGAAGGGAGAAGCAAACACTGATCAGACAGCTTTTAGCTGTACACATGGAAATGTACCCAGATCACCTTGAAAACGGAAGAGTAATCAAGAGGAAAGGAACCACAGCATCTTAAAAGTCATAATTGTATTTCAAAAAAGATTGAAAGAAATAGAAGTTTCCAGTGCAACTGAGTTACCCCCTGCTGGACTTTGGCCTTATGAGGACCCAAAAATCTGAAAAGCAAGTCTGGGGGCAAATAACCTAGGCTTATCTTCCTAGTCCTCACAAACAACAGCAGTTCTAGCCTGATGATTTTCAAAACTGGGTTAGATGTGAATGTCAATGCTGAAGCAGTCAGTGAAACCAAGTATCTAAAGAAAATACTTTCACTGGCACCAGTGACTCATACCTGTAATGCTAGCTACTCAGGAGGCTAAGATCTGAGGATCATGGTTCAAAGTCAGCCCAAGCAGGAAAATCCAAGACTCTTATCTCTAATTAACCACCAGAAAACCAGAAGTGGTAGAGCGCTTGCCTTGAGCTGAAGAGCTGAGGGACAGCTCCCAGACCCAGAGTTCAAGCCCCACAACCAACAAAAGAAAAAAACTTTCGTGAAATTGAAAATCTGAATTTGTGTGCCTCAATAATAAGCACACACAAAAAAGGCCTAATAACACTAACAGTGTATGTAGGACTTATGCGCATCAATTCTAATGTACATACCAGCATTTAAATCTCCTCTTCCACCCAGAACTTTCTCCTCCTTCAACCCCCCTTTTAAAAAAAAAATTCCTGGGGCTGGGAAGGTGGCTCAGTGGTAGAGTGCTTGCCTTGCATGCCTGAGGCCCTGGGTTCGATTCCTCAGCACCACATAAGCATAAAGAAAAAAGCCAGAAGTGGCGCTGTGGCTTAAGTGGTAGAGCGCTAGCCTTGAGCTGAAGAGCTGAGGGACAGCGCCCAGGCCCAGAGTTCAGGCCCACGACCGGACCCAAAAATAAATAAATAAAAGTAAATAAAAATTCCTTATGTCCCTTATTTATCTACCTTCTAGCTCTCTACTTTATTATGTAGGCATTATTACAAATGGGATTCATCTACCAGGTTTGTAGTTCAATCCCCTGGGATTGCTGCCTGGCACACATCACACAATGCTGGCATTTAAAGTCTCTAAACCCGACCTTAACCATCTTACACCCTAACTTGCTTCCTTTCCATATCATCACCTTCCTTTGCCTAATTACTGACACTGCTGGTCTTCTCACACCACTCAAGATGCTCTTCAAATCCTCAACTCACAGTAATTAAATATAAGGACTGTGGGATTTGTGTCCGAGCCACTCCTAGACACCCAAAGCCAACCCTGCCTTCCATTTTCAACATACTGTAGCAAGTTACATTTATTTTTTTATTTTTGCTAGTTCTGGGGCTTGAACTCAGGGCCTGGGTACTCTCCCTGAGCTTCTTTTGCTCAAGACTAGTGCTCTACCACTCAAGCCACAGCGCGCCAATTCTGGTTTTCTGAGTGGTTTATTGGAGATAAGAGTCTCATGGGGCTGGGAAGTTGGCTCAGTGGTAGAGTGCTTGCCTTACATGAGGCCCTGAGTTGGATTCCTCAGCACCACATAAGCAGAAGAAAAAAAAAAAAAGCTGGAAGTGGCACTATGGCTCAAGTGGTAGAGCGCTAGCCTTGAGCTGAAGGGTTGAGGGACAGTACCCAGGCCCAGAGTTCAGGACCCAGACCAGACCAAAAAAAAAAAAAAAAAGTCTCATGGAGGTTTCTGCCTGGGCTGGCTTTGAACCATGATCCTCAGATCTCAGCCTCCTGAGTAGCTATGATTACAGGCATGAGCCACCGGCTCCCAGCTTCAAACTCAATTTTGTTTGACAAATCCCTCATCACTGGACTCATTCTCATTCTCTAGGTGCTATGTGACTTCAATCAGCAAACTGTTATCTGCATGAAGGATTCCTACTTTAACCCCTGTACTGTTTTTAGGAACTCTTAAAAATGTGTTTTACTTCTCCCTCATTCTCTACCTCCAACAAACCCAATAACTTTCTCTTTCTCCAAACTGCGGGAATCTCATTCACTATCTACTGGATAATTTTAACATACCCTGACCAAAAATATAATTGGACTCAACTGTCATCACCTACCCCTAATGGCTTATGTCCAACCCTATCTGACTGTCCTGCAAAACAGATTTCAAGCCAGGCACCAGTGGCTCATGCCTGTAATCCTAGCTACTCAGGAAGCTGAGATCTAAGGCTAGCCTGGACAGAAAAGTCTGAGACACCTCCAAATAAACTATCCAAAAAGCTATACATGGAGCTGTGGCTCAAATGTTAGAGTAAAATGAAACGCAGGCTCAGTGCCCAGCTCCTGAGTTCAAGCCCCAAGCCCAGGAACCCCAAAAAGGAAAACAAATCAAATTTCTTGTTTGGGTTTTTTTTTAACTGTATATATTTTTTGTCTTTTCCTTTTTGGTACTGGGGATTGAACCTAGGACGTTGCACTTGCTAGGCAAGCGCTTTGCCACTGAGCTACATTACATCCCAGCCCTAGGGTTGGTTTGTGTTTGTTTTTTAGGTTGGTCATGGGCCTGAACTCTGGGCCTGGGCCCTGTCCCTCAGCACTTCAGCTCAAGGCTAGTGTTCTACTTGAGCCACAGCACCACTTCCAGTTTTTTCTGTTTATGTGGTGCTGAGGAATCAAACCCAGGGCCTCATGCATATAAGGCAAGCACTCTAACACTGAGCCATCTTCCCAGCCCCTCAAACCAAATTTCTTTACCAGCCCATGATCAACCTTCATGGGGATGGGCTCTCTTAGTGTGGGGAAGCCTTGTTATCAGGCTAGTCTTCCTCTCCTGGCTACCTTTACCATGGAGTTATATTCCATAACTCAAAAACACAGAAGTTCAAAGACAGTACCCAGGCCGAGTCCAAGCCCTAGGACAGAAAAGATGGTAGCCTGGCACTGGTAGCTCACCCCCCTCTGTAATCCTAGCTACTCAGGAAGATGAGAGAGGGGCTGGGAATGAGGCTCAGTGGTAGAGTGCTTGCCTAGCATGCGTGAAACTCTGGATTCAATTCCTCAGTACCACATAAACAGAAAAACCTGAAAGTGGTGCTGTGGCTCAAGTGGTAGAGTGCTAGCTTTGAACAAAAGAAGTTCAGGACAATGCTCAGGTCCTGAGTTCAAGCCCCAGGACTGGCACCAAAAAAAAAAAAAACAAAAGGCATGGAGGTGAGAGACTTTTGGTAGCTGTTCTTTGCTAATTTTTGACTCATTAATTTTTACCTTTATAACATCCTTTCAAAATCAGTAAGCTCATTAATTAAAAGCTTAACCAACCCCAGGATCCAAATACCCTCCCTGGTTGATTTCAACCCATACCCCTAAGCAACCTGTCCTCTTGGCAACCTGATTCTTTGGAAGAGTGGAAAGAACCATCTCTTCCCTGACTTTGTGGAGGATAAATCCAACAAACAGGCCTAAGTAACTTCAATTTATATCTAAACTGTATTTTGTATAGGCACCCAAACTTGTTTATCTTCAGTAGACATAGCTAGTAGTCCTCTCTTTTCTGAAAACTCAGTAAGAGTTCAATGAGGTGAGTACAGCTGGCATGTTAAGGCCTTTGATAGTAGCTTCTGTTGCTATACTATTAATTCTATTCATACGAAAGGAAAACATTTTCCCTAGTCCTTTCATGCCTTTCAACAGACTCAAAATGTTTCAAACTGAGAAATCAGAAAACAGAAGTCCAAGAAATATCATGTTGCATGCCAGTGGTTCACACCTGTAATCCTATTTTTTTAACATGTGATGGATATAGTGTGTGTATATGTATATATGTATGTATATATGTATGTGTGTATGTATGTATGTATATGTCATGTATGTGTATACATATATATGGAAATGCTAGGGATCAAACCCAGAGCCTTGAGCCTATAGAAATATGCTAGGAAATGAAATGCCAGTCAGATGCCATAGCTTATACCTGTAATCTTACCTACTTAGGAGGTTGTGATTTGGAAGTTATGTTTGAGGACAGCCTGAGCAGAAATGTCTGCTAGGTACCATCTCTAAAATAATCAGAAAAAAGCCAGACTGGAGTTGTGGCTTAAGTATTAGAGAGCTAAGCTAGGTAAGCATGAGTCCCTGAGTTTAAAACCAGTACCACCAAAAAACAGGAAATGCCAATTTGTCAATTGAAAGAAACACTGAAACAATTTAAGATTTTAATAACCAAAGTAACTATACAAAAAATAAACAAATTAACTTTATTAAGCTAGTACTTCAGTCTACATTGATTTAAAAAAAAGTGTAGAACTTACTGAAAGTGAGTATATACAATAAATAGAAAATAGGGAGGGCATAATGTTCGAGACCTAATAAAGCTTCTGTGGTAAACAAAACTTGACACATGATTAACATTATTGAAAGTGAAGCCCAAGTACCTAGGAGAATGTTGTGAACTCTTGGGAAAATAACTTAGCTCTGGACCAGACACAAAAACCAAACCAAACACACAAGAAAAGACCCACAACAACAAAACACTATCTAGAAACTAACTTCACTATAGCACTACAGTAACTACTAAAACTATTCCTTCTACTGCTAGTACTAAAGAACAATTTAAGAAAACAAAAATATCAATGAACCTTCATGAACAGTTAAATCAAAGTTTTAACTTTAAATATATGAAGACTTCTTAAGTATTCTAAGCCATATGACAGGCCCCACAAAAATAAGTTACAAATACTCTGAATTTAATAACTTAAAACATGATATGATGAACATAACATATATTGTATGAGTACCTCTATCTCATGTAAGGTAATACCTATAAGGTTTAAATTTAGCCTCAGTTTCTGCTCAGAAGAGTGACGTCAGTGTTCTAGCAATAGTGATGACATTCTATTATAAATGTAGAACCTGTGAATGTACACATTAGTTTGAATTGCACTTGATTGAAGAAATAATTGTATGTTCAAGAGAGTCCATGTTCTATGTACAAATTTTCAATGGAGCAGGTTTATAGTCACAGCTGGCTTTAAAAATGTTTTCTGACTTCTGAAAACAAATCATGAAAGCTCTTCCTAAAAGTTAACAAAGTGAATAGTAGGTGACGTTGGTTCTTTTTTCCCTTTATGTATGATGAACTTCGTGAAACATTAATTCCCGAGGTATGTTTGTTTCTGGACCATACAGCTTACATGCTCTTCTTTCAAAGGCGGCTACCATTTGTTTGACAACTTCATCAAAAAACAATGTGGCAAGCTGAGAGTGTAGAAGTGAGCGGAATTCAAAAGAAATCTGTAAGAAAGTATTAAAAATTGGAAAAGACTTTTCTTTTGCTAGATTTTCATTCAGGACAACATTAACACTGTGATTCAGGAACCTAAGGAAGAAGTGTGTGGCTACAGCTGAGATTTCAGGACCCACCAGAAGGGAATATTCTTTACCTCAGCACAAAAGCTCACACACACTGGGCTGTAGTCACCTCATTTCACGGCAGAGTCTGCCTCTATGGAGTCTGGAGAAGAAAAACTTCGCTAAAAAACACATTTATCACTTGTTTCTTCCCTTTTAGATCCATCCTACCCTCCAAAGGAAAATAAGAACGGAAAAGACTACTTTCATAGCTGTTGCTCCTAAGAGAAGTTGAGGTAGATGAGGTTGCCTATAAGTGCGTAAGTGTGCCTCATCCCACATAGCAACAGGGTAGGTGGTTAACTCTTTTTTTTTTGGGGGGGGGGTCAGTCATGGGACGAACTCTGGGCTTGGGTGCTGTCCCTGTGCTCTTCAGCTCAAGGAGAGCACTCTCCTGCTTGAGTCACTTCTGCTTTTCTGGTGGTTAATTGGAGATAATAAGAGTCTCAGGAAAAAAAAGTCTCACAGACTTTCCTGCATGGGCTGGCTTTGAACTGTGATCCTCAGATCTCAGCCTTCTGAGTAGCTAAGTTTATGGCTACTGCTTGCTAGGCAGAGATTCTCTTCACCACATGAGCCATGTGTAATACTGTACTTTTCAGATTGGGTCATGTTTTCCTCAAGGTGGTCTGGAATTTTGATCCTCCCAATCTCCACCTCCTGAGAAGTTGAGATTTAAGGAGTTAGCAACCATGCCAAACTTTTTTTCTTTTGTGGTGCAGGTACTGGAGCTTGAATTCAAGGCAAAAATCTGACTTAGTTTTTCTATTCAAAACCTGCCCTCTACCATTAAATCCATACCTCTATACCAGCTTTTTTGTTTGTTTTTTTGGCTGGTTGTGGTGCTTCAACTAAGGGTCTGGGCACTGTCCCTGAGCTTCCTTTGCTCAAGTCTAGTGCTCTACCACCTGAGCCACAGAGCCACTTCCATTTGTTTCTGTTTATGGGGTACTAAAGAATGGAACCCAGGGCTTCATGTATGCTAGGCAAGCACTCTACCACTAAGCCACATTCAAAGCCCTCCGATTTTTTTTTTGATAGTGAACAGGAGGTAAGAGTCTCTTGACTTTGTCAGGATTGCTTTCACACCTCAATTCTCAGACTTCATCCTCCTTGAATAGCTAGGATTACAGGCATGAGTCACCACCTCCTAGAGGCATTATTTTGTTTTGTACTAACTGTACTGGCTTTATTTTGTATTTAGGACTGAACTCAGGGCCTCACACAAATTAAGCAGGCTCTTTACATCTTTTTTTTTTTTTTGGTCGGTCATGGGGCTTTAACTCTGGGCCTGGGCACTGTCCCTCAGCTCTTCAGCTCAAGGCTAGTTCTCTGCCGCTTGAGCCACACCACCACTTCCAGCTTTTTCTGCTTATGTGGTGCTGAGGAATCGAACCCAGGGCCTCATGCATGCAAAGCAAGCACTCTACCACTGAGCCACCTTCCCAGGCCGCTCTTTACATCTTGAAATACAACCTTAGCCTTAAATGTTTGTAAGTAATATTAAGCTGGTAGCTAAATTATGGCATATATTTTATTTTTGGTACTGGTGAGGACCAACCCAGGGCCTCATGCATGCTAGACAAGTATCTACTGCTGAATCTACATTCCCAGTCCAGATTATGGATGGGATAAGAGTTAATATAGTAATTAAAATCTATGGACTTAGAAAAAGTAGTAAAGGAGAAGGAATAACATTTGATGTTGTAGGAAATAGAATGGAAAAAATCATTAGCATTAATGTAAAAAAAAAGTATTCTATAATAAGAAATTTTAGATTAAAAAAAATATTGGGGCTGGGTATGTAGCTTAGTGGTAGCATGCTTGTATACATAAAATCCCTGGGTTTGATTTCTCAGTACCACAGAAAAAGCTGGAAGTGGTGCTGTGATTCAAGTGATAGACTGCTAGCCTTGAGCAAAAAAAGAAACCTAGAGACGGTGCTCAAGCCTTAAGTTCAAGCTCCAAGACTGGCAAAAAAAAAAAAAAAATCATGCTGGGCACTGGTGGCTCATTCCTCTAATCCTAGCTACTCAGGAGGCTGAGATCTGAGGATTGTGGTTCAAAGCCAGCCCAGGCAGGAAAATCTGTGAGACTGTTATCTCCAATTAACCACCAGAAAACCTGAAGTGGTGCTGTGGCTCAAAGTGGTAGAACACTATCCTTGAGCAAAAGAGCTTAGGGACAGTGCCCAGACTGTGAGTTCAAGCCCCATGACCAACAAAAAAATAAAAATAAAATTTCTTAAATCATGTTTTAGCACTTTCTATACATATCAGATAATCATGGCATCTGGTTCTAAAAAAATGGATAAGCCAGGCATGGTGGTGCATACCTGTAATCCTAGCTCTGAGGTCAACTTTGGTTACAGGGTAACACTAACCAACATTACTTCATAGCAGGACCCAATCTCAAAGAAGTAAAATACAGCAATGATTGCAGCTCATGTGGTTGAGTATCTTCCTAGCCAATATGAAGCCATGAGTTCAAACCAATAAAAGAATTATTGCTTCTTAATAATTTCTCTTTAGATGTGAAACAAATCAAATACTTCATGAAAGACTTACTGAAAAATCCAGGGTACAAGTTCTTGGGTAGCCAGGAATTCCTGGGCTAAAGCGCCAAATAGTCTCTAAATGATTGAAAAGTTTCCCATCAGTACAGGATGCCTAGAAATTAAAAATAAATTAAAAATTAAAAACTACAGTTAAATATCTTTATTATAGGGGCTGGGAAGGTGGCCCAGTGGTAGAGTGCTTTCCTTGCATGCCTGAGGCCCTGGGTTCGATTCCTCAGCACCACATAAGAAAAAAGAAAAAAGCCGGAAGTGGCACTGTGGCTCAAGTGGTAGAGCGCTAGCCTTGAGCTGAAGAGCTGAGGGACAGCGCCCAGGCCCAGAGTTCAGGCCCCATGACCGGACCCAAAAAAACAAAAAACAAAAAATCTTTATTATTAGCAAGAATCTTCCATGACAGAATTATTTTTCCAAAAAGTGATTATTACTTTCATAGGTCAAGAGATGATGATATTTAATAGCTTGGTATTAGGAAGCAATTTCTTACTAAAATGAGTCATTTTTTTTTCTTCTGGAATCCCTAAAGGCTGTCAGTATTCTTTTCCATGCTACCACCCACTCGTTACTTAGATTTCTCTCCTCTAATAGCACAACAAGGAGTGATTTTTATGGAATCTTATTTCTGACACAAGTTAAACTCCTGTATCATATTCCTTGAGCTGCAAAATATTATCTTCTTTATACTATCAATATGAAATGATAGCTGAAATGCTTATAAGTTTTCTGCTATAGATCCCTAGGGCAATTTCTAAATTCTCTCCTACTACCAATAGTCTTGCTTTCACTCTTCATTCCCAATTCCTCTACCCAGTTTCTTTCATATCCTTGGCCCTGACTCCTTTCTTTCTAAATGGCTTCAGGACATGTCTAATTTATATGTATTTGCATAACCTGAAACAGGGCTTTTGTGACTCTTGATAGTTCCCACTGCATACCATTAAAAAAGATACTGACTGTGACTCATGAAAAGACTGCCATGTGCAATGTCAAAAATGGTGACGATATGCTAGCTAGTACATTGTTATAAGTGGTTATGACCTTGGCTGAAATTCAGCTTCATTACCTAGGCCTCTTGGATGTTAAGTAGGCATTATCACACTACTACAATAACCCACCTTAAGAGTACATTATCACTTCTCCTCTGCAGCACAACATTAAAATAACTGACTGAAGGCTACAACTTCGAGTTCAGTTTTGGTTTTTTTTGGGTCCAGTAGTGGGGCCTGAACTCTGGGCCTGGGCACTGTCCCTCAGCTCTTCAGCTCAAGGCTAGCGCTCTACCACTTGAGCCACAGCACCACTTCTGGCTTTTTTCTTTTTGCTTATGTGGTGCTGAGGAATCGAACCCAGGGCCTCATGCATGCAAGGCAAGCACTCTACCACTGAGCCACCTTCCCAGCCCCGCATTTTTAGTTCTCAAGGTATATCCTGAGGCCAACAAACAATCAAGCCTATTCTTTTTCTCTTTGATTTTATTCCCCTTAAGATTTTATAATAGCCGGGCCCTGGTAGCTAACACCTGTAATCCTAGCTACTCAGGAGACTGAGATCTGAGGATCACAGTTCAAAGCCAGCCCGGGCAGGAAAGTCCGTGAGACTCTTTTTTGTTGTTGTTGTTGTTGGTCGTGGGGCTTGAACTCTGGGCTTGGGCACTGTCCCTCAGCTCTTCAGCTCAAGGTGAGCACTCTACCACTTGAGCCATAGCACCACTTCCGGTTTTCCAGTGGTTTTATTGGAGATAAGAGTCTTACATTGGCTGGGAAGGTGGCTCAGTGGTAGAGCGCTTGCCTTGCATGCATGAGGCTCTGGGTTTGATTCCTCAGCACCACATAAGAAAAAAGAAAAAAGCTGAAAGTGGCGCTGTGGCTCAAGTGGTAGAGTGCTAGGCGCTGTGGCTCAAGTGGTAAGAGCGCTAGCCTTGAGCTGAAGAGCTGAGGGACAGTGCCCAGGCCGAGTTCAGGCCCCATGACCAGACCCTACCCCCCCCCCAAAAAAAAAAAAGTCTCACAGACTTTCCTGCCTGGGCTGGCTTTGAACTGTGATCCTCAGATTTCAGCCTCCTGAGTAGCTAGGATTACAGGTGTGAGCCATCGGCTACTTGGCTTTCCCTAAAACTCATCTCCAATAAACCACTCAGAAAACCGGAGTGGTGCTGTGTCTCCAGTGGTAGATCACTAGCCTTGAGCTGAAGAGCTGAGGGACAGCTCCCAAGGCCCGGAGTTCAAGCCCCACAACCACCCCCCCCCCAAAAAAAGTTAATAATATCTTTCCTGTAAGGCTACTGACACTACTGATCTGTATTCCCCAAACAAGTCCTTGTATAGTTTCGTCCAATTAAAGGAGTCATTTTTGCTTAGTTATACTCTTCCTAATCATAGAACACAGGGTCCAATTCTCTGACAAAAGTCTGTATCTCTCCACATACTCGAACAGAAAATCTATTTGCAGTTTGTTTCTTAAAGTCGTCTCTTCATCTAAGCCCTCTTGAATCCATTATCAGTCAATAACATAGTCTAACCATTATTACAAAAGTCAAGGACAACAAATTAAAAGACATTTATATCAGAATGCTCTTTATAGATTTATAAAAACAAAAACATTAACAGCTAAATGCAGTCATAGTATGCTTAGCTATTGAGAAGAAGGAATTTTTTTTTTCAAGGGCTTTCCTGCTTGGGCTGGCTTCAAACTTTTATGCTCAGATTTCAGCCTCTTGAGTAACTAGTATTACAGGTGTGAGTTACAATAAGAATATTAATCAAGTCCAGATGCCGATAGCTCACACCTGTAATCCTAGCTATTCAAGGGACTGAGATTTGAGGATCAGTTCCAAGCTAGCCTGGAGAGAAAAATCACTGTGAAACTCTCATCTCCAATTAACCATTCAAAAACTGGAAGTGGTGCTGTGGCTCAAGTGGTAGAACATTAGTCTTGCACTGAAGAGCTGAGGGACAGTGCCCAGGCCCAGAGTTCAAGCCCCACAACTGACAAAAATAGTAGAGCTGGAAGCCTGGGTCAAATGGTAGAGTGGCAATAAAGCAAACACAAGGCTCTGAGTCCAAACCCCAGTATTGTTACTTTAAAAAAAGTTCCTATCACCATAAAATAGGAATTCAAAAATATTGAGTATTAGTCCATGGAATTTTGCTTTCCTTTTCTATGTGTAAAATGCGTGTGTGTGCACGCATTAATAATGGGGCTTGAATTCAAGAGCTTCATGCTCTTGCTTGGCTTATTTTGCTTAAGCCTTGCACTTGACTACTTAAGCCATGCCTCCACTTCCAAATAAATCTCAAAGGCTTTTATGTCCCAGCTCTCTTCAGACCTCAATACTCAGATCTCAGTCAAATCCTGACTAGGATTACAGGGTTGTGAGTCACCAGTGCCCAGCCTCCTATTACTAGAGACATCTTTTTCAGTTTTTACACATTATTTGATATGATTTGGGGAATATTTAAGAACAAAAACTCTTACCTTTACCAAATGTGGTTTCACCAAGGTCACTATAGATGTATATCGTTCCAACACCGGAGGAAACCCAATTTCTAACTGCGTTTTACAATATCCAGATCTCTTTGATATAATATCTGATTTTTTGCACCAAGGAACAAAATGCTTATAATCCTCCATTCCTGATACTACATCATACATTTCCTGCATTGAATACCTTTGAAAGGGGAGAGAGAGAGAGAAGTAGTTTTAACAGCTAGTTCTGAGATAAGTAATTGGATACAAATATAATATTCATAAATCATTTAATAGGCATACGGAATCACATCTAAATAAACTTCAAAGCAACGAAGAACTCTAAATTAGAAACATATATTGCAGAGATCAGAATTTGGAAACTCATGGGTTGAACTTGACTTGCAGATGTGGTTTTAAATTTTTTTAATTACTTGTTGATTTTTAAAAAGTGAGAGTTTACCTTGGTGTGAGAGGACACACTTATAACCCCATTACTGGGGAGGTAAAGGCAAGAAAACAGATATTTCTATATAAACTGGGTTACATAGCAATATCCTGTCTCAAAAAAATAAAAATTGAGAGTTAATATGGAAAACTTAGAAAATGGAAAAGGACTCTGTGGTAGCACATGCTTTGAATCCATTTGTTCAGAGGCTGAAGCAGGAGGATCATTTTAGCCTACAAATTAAGAGACCAGTATAGTTAATATAACAAGACTTACCACAAAACAAAATAAAACACTGGTAGCTCATGCCTATATTACTATCCACTCAAGAGGCTAAGACCTGTTAGATTGGGGTCAAAGCCAGTCCAGACAGAAAAGTGTGGGTCCAGATCCAATTAATCAGAAAAGGCTAGGCTGGAGGGATGTCTCAAGCGATAGAATGTCAGCTCTGAGCAAGAAAAGCTGAGCAAGAGCATGAGTACCTGAGTTCAAGCCCCCTCAGTACCAGCAAAAACATCACTTTTTTTTTTTTTTTTTGCCAGTCCTGGGGCTTGAACTCAAGGCCTGGACACTGTCCCTGAGCTTCTTTTTGCTCAAAGCTAGCACTCCACCACTTGGGCCACAGCACCACTTCTAGCTTTTTCTATTTAAGTGGTACTGAGGAATCAGTCCCAGGGTTTCACCATCCTTGGCAAGCACTCTATCGCTAAGCCACATTCCCATCCCTGTACATCACCTTTATAATAACATTATTTATTTATTTATTTATTTTTGTTGGTTGTGGGGCCTGAACTCTGGGCCTGGGCACTGTCCCGCAGCTCTTCAGCTCAAGGCTAGCGCTCTACCACTTGAGCCACAGCGCCACTTCCGGCTTTTTCTGCTTATATGATGCTGAGGAATGGAACCCAGGGCCTCATGCATACAAGGCAAACAATCTACCACTAAACCACCTTCCCAGCCCCTATAATAACATTTTTTTTAAGGGTTAGATTGATTTTAAAAATTTCTACTTGAAGCCAAAATTTTAGTTTTGGTGATTTATTACTCAAAAATACTGCCACAGAGTACAAAAGACATTCACTTCAATATTGATGGTTAGAGTAGGAAAGAATGGAAATGTCTGTCAGCAAATAGATATTAATAAAGGTTTAACATACCAGATATAGAGGTTCAACCCTGTAATCCTAGCTACTGGGAAAATTTAAGGTTGGAAGCCATCCAAAATTTAGTATCAACAAACAAATGGGAATAGTACTATAATCTCAGGTATGTGAGAGGCATAGGTAGGAATATGGCAGGATAAAGCTGACCCCAGGCACAAGCAAAACCACCTAACACAAGGCACTGTTTCATAAACTGCACACCTGCTACTCAGATGGCTAAGATTAGAGGCTTAGAACTTGAGGTCAGCCTGGGTAAAAGAGTTAGCTAAACTCCATCTCCAACAGGGCAGGGCAGGGCTGGAGGTGTGGCTCAAGTGGAAGGTTATCAGCCTACTAGGTACAACCAAAACCCAGCACCACCAAAGAGGAAAAAAGAAAGATGTTTATGATCAGAGCACACATGCTGAGAGAATGAGTCAAATTTACTGACTGCCAGGTAATATGGGGTAATGTGAATTAATACTCCAAAGAATCAATAATTTAGTAAAATGGCCTACCATGAAATAAACAAAAAATCAACACCTCTCTTATACTAACAAGAGCTAGCTAGAAAATGATAGCACAGAAAGGCAATAAACCTAGAAATAAATTCAACAACAATTTAGGGTTTAAGTCAACAAAAACACAATAAAATTCTATGGACATACATTTAATGAGAGTCAGATGTTATTTTTGGTTCCAAAGACTCAATGCTTTTAGAATATGATTCATCATATAATTATATAGTAATTTCAATAATCACAACCTAAATTCCAAATGGGCATTTTTGGAATATGATTATTTGAACCTTCACATATATATACTTGTGCATATATGACATACATACACACATGCACACCAAGGATTTTTTTTTTTTTTTTGGTCAGCCATGAGTCTTGAATTCATGGCCTGGGGTTGTCCCTGAGCTTTTTTGCTCAAGGCTACTGTTCTACCACTTTGAGCCACAGCTCCACTTCCAGTTTTCTGGTGGTTAATTGAAGATGAGTCTTCGGGGTTTCTTACCCAGAAACTAAGAACTGCAATTCTTAGATATCAGCCTCTTGAGTAGCTAGGATTACAGGTGTGAGCTACCAAACTCATGTATGTTTTAATTAACTGATTTACAACCACAAAAAGAACACTGAACAAAAATGTAAATCATAAATATACATATATGTCAAGATTAAAAACCCATTCTATACAGTTACCATATAATTGCATTCATTCAATAAGTATTTATGAAACAGTAAGGAAAGGCCAACAGAGAAAAAGCAGAGTTTAGTCTGGAAGACAATTCAAGAGAAAGGCACAGTACTCTAAAGAAAATTATGAATAAGCTTTTAGAACTATTAGTATATACAAACCCTATAATTCTTCTTTCTGAGTATTCTTTTCTTTTGTTTATTAATGGTGCAGTAATTTTGAAGAAAGTTCTTGCACATATGTCTTTGGGCAAAATGGATGTATGTACTGGAAGAGTTCTGTTCATCAGTATACCACAGGAAGCTAAATATCTAAAAGACAAAAATGACTGGATTTAGAGTAACAGTGAAGATTAAGATGACATTCAAACTATAGAAATTACAGAAAACTATCTTAGCTAGTAAAAATAAATTAACCAACAAGTTAAAAAAAAAAACACTATCATATCTTAAGGCTAGAGTATGGCCTTAATGGGAGAATACTTACCTAACAAGTTTGAGCTCCTAATTCAAACTAGAGTATCACCAAAAAAGACATACACACAATATTTTATTATCAATTCCTTATATATACATATATGTCATATATAGAAATATATACATACACATACATATATACATATATGTACTTATATACTAAGTAATATAATTAGCAAACACTGGTAAAACTATTACATTTTAGAAGTGTTTGTACTTAAAAGTGTCGCGGGGCTCCGGTGGCTCACACCTGTAATCCTAGCTACTCAGGAGGCTAAGATCTGAGGATCATAGTTCAAAACCAGCCTGGGTAAGAAAGTCCTTGAGACTCTTATCTCCAATAAACCACTAGAAAACCACAAGTGGCACTGTGGCTTAAGCCATAGAGCACTAGCCTTGAGCTGGAGAGCTGAGAGACAGCGCCCAAACCCAGAGTTCAAGCCCCACAACTGACCAAAAAAAAAAAAAGAGTATTGAAAGGGGCCGGGGGCCAGTGGCTCATACCTGTAATCCTAGCTACTCAGAAAGCTGAGATCTGAGGATCTCAGAGTCCATAAGGCTCTTTTCTCCAATTAAACACCAGAAAACCAGAAATGGTGCTGTGGCTCAAGTGGCACAGTGCTAGCCTTGAGCTGAAGAAGACAGGGACAGTGCCCAGGCCCATAGTTTAAGCCCCACGACCAACAACAACAACAAAAAGCTCAGAGACAGTGCTCAGGCCCTCAGTTCAAGCCCCAGGACTGGCAAAAAACAACAACAACAAACTTATTAAGCATCATAAAGAAGCTTGCCAGGCGCTGATGGCTCATGCCTGTAATCCTAGCTACTCAGGAGCCTGAGATCTGAGGATCTGGGTTTGAAGCCAGCCCAGGCAGGAAAGTCCATGAGACTTTTTTTAAAAATACATTTTTTATTGTAAAAATACTGTACAGAAGGGTTATAGTTACACAAGCAAGGTAATGAGTACATTTCCTATCAAGCATTGTTACTTCCTCCTTTGTTTTTCCCCTACCCTCCCTTCCCTCCCACCTCCACAACTACACTCCCCCCCCCACCCCATACACCTAAATTGTAAAGTTCGTTTTTCAACATAGTGTCTTGTGCATCTCATTGTTACCATAGGTCAACCTGTATCCCTATTTAAGCATTTTGTTTTTCCCTTCCCCTCCCCAAATTAGAGAAGTGTATATACAAGATGTAGGGCACCCAAATCAAATTCAGTGAAAATGGGTTATACCTTGGGGGAGGAACATACAAAGAAACAAACAAACAAAAAAATCACTCCATGAGACTCTTATCTCCAATGAATTACAGAAAAAGCTGGAAGTGGCGCTGTGGCTCAAGTGGTAGAACACTAGCTTTGAGCAAAAGAAGCTCAGGGACAGCATTCAAGCCCAGAGTTCAAGCCCCAGGACTAGCCAAAAACAAAAAAACAAAACACACACACACAAAAAAAAAAAAAAAAAACTTTGCAGTTAGGTTAGAAGATTCTGACACAAAAGGTCCTCTTCCCAAAAAGCTGACTTCTTTTTCTTTTTTTTAGATCCAGTCGTGGGGCCTGAACTCTGGGCCTGGGCTTGGGGCCTCATGCATGCAAGGCAAGTACCACTGAGCCACCTTCCCAGCCCGAATGAATCAATTTGGGGGGGGGCAGTAGAACTTGAACTCTGGGCTTGGGCATGAATCAATTTTTTATGTACTATATTTATTCATTAGTTAATTTACTCTCTGAGTTCCAATTCTGTGTTAGACAGTTAGTCACTGAGGATATAATGGTGAACAGAATAAATATGAGCCTTCAGATTACAATCTAGTTGAAGGTTTATCAAAAACATGAGTTTTAGGCAGATTACATTCTAGTTGAATTGGCTCTGTGGCTCAAGTGGTAGAGTTCTCTCTCTGAGCACAAAGAGACTCAGGGTTAGCGCCCAGGCCCCGAGTTCAAGCCCCAGAACTAGCAAAAAAAAAAAAAGAGCACTCTTCTGCTACTGTATTTTAGACTGGGAATGTGGCTTAGTGGTAGAGTGCTTACCTAGGATGCATGAAGCCCTAGGTTTGATCCCTTAGTACCACATAAACAGAAAAAGCCAAAAATGGAGTTTGGCTGAAGTGGTAGAGCACTAGCCTTGAGCAAAAGAAGCTCAGAGACAGTGCCCAGGCCCTGAGTTCAAACTCTAAGACTGGCAAAAAAAAAAAAGATTCATCAAAAGTGAGCTGATGGCTTATGTCTGTAATCCTAGCTACTTAAGAGGCTGGGATCTGAGGATCACTATTCAAAGCCAGACCAGGCAGGAAAGACTGTGACACTCTTATCTCCAATTAACCACCAGAAAAGCAGAAGTAGAACTGTGGCTCAAGGGGCTGGGAAGGTGGCTCAGTGGTAGAGCGCTTGCCTTGCATGCTTGAGGCCCTGGGTTCGATTCCTCAGCACCACATACGCAAAAAGAAAAAAGCCGGAAGTGGCACTGTGACTCAAGTGGTAGAGCGCTAGCTTTGAGCTGAAGAGCTGAGGGACAGTGCTCAGGCCCAGAGTTCAGGCCCCATGACTGGACCCCAAAAAAAAAAAAAAAGAACTGTGGCTCAAAGCAGTAGAGAAACTAGCTTTGAGCAAAAAAGCTCAGGGACAGCACCCAGGCCCTGAATTCAAGTCCCATGACAGATGGAGGGTGGGGGGGTAAGAGAGAGAAAGAGAAAGAGAGAGAGAGAGATCACATACAAAATAAAACCAGGACCTCCGTTGGCTAGATTGATTATAACAACTAAATTTGAGTTGGGCAGATGGCATGTACCTGAGCTAATTGGGAATCTGGTAGACAGATTCTGGCAACAGAGCCAAAGCCCAAGGAAGAGAGAAGAAAAAGTGAATTTGGTATATAAAGTGACTGATCATCCACCACTCCTCTAAAACATTCTTTAGGCTGGGCACTGGTGGCTCACACTTGTAATCTTTGCTACTCAGGAGGCTGAGATCTGAGGATAGTGGTTCAAAGCCAGCTTGGGCAGGAAAGACCGTGAGACTCTTATCTCCAATAAACAACTCAGAAAACTGGAAGTAATGCTGTGGCTCAAGTGGTAGAGCACTAGCTTTGAGCTAAGAGCTGAGGGACAGCACCCAGGCCCAGAGTTCAAGCCCCACAACCAACAAAAAAGAAAAAAAAAGTAATATGTGTTTGAAGAAGCAATCTAACAGATATTCCCATCTCAGTGCATTCTCTGGTTGTAGGACCCTGGACAGGACATTGATTTTTTACAATATCAATAATAAGGGCTAAGGGGCAGTTCATTGGTAAATGTGCAAAGTCCTGGGTTGGATCCCAGCATCAAAAATGGGTTTAAGCTGATGGCTTACACCTACAATCCTAGCTACTCAGAGGCTCAAATCACGGTTCAAAGATAGCTCTGATGGGAAAGTCCTTGAGACTGTATCTCCCATTAAACAGCAAAAAGCTGTCAATGGAGCTGTGGTTCAAGTGGTAGAGCCCTAACCTTGAGCTAAAAAAGGGGGAAAAAAACAAACAAACGAAAACACAGCAAACTGCTGGGCATTGGTGGCTCAGGAGGCTGAGATCTGAGGATCACACTTTTGCTGAATCTTTTTTTTTTTTTTTTTTGCCAGCCTGAGCAGGAAACTCCTGAGACTCTTAGCTCTAATAAACCACTCAGAAAACTGGAAGTGGCACTGTGGCTTCAGTGATAGAGCACTTGCCTTGAGCTGAAGAGCTGAGGGATAGTGTCCAAGCCCAGAGTTCAAGCCCCATGACCGACACAAAAAACAAAATTCAACAAAAAAGCACCTAGACCCTGAGTTCAAGCCCCAGAACCTGCACAAATAAAAGAGGGGAGGGAAGGGTTATGTGTAATACAAGGAACCATACAATTAAACCAGAGAAAAATACTGGAGCACATTGAGAACTTAATCACTAATGTTCCAATACAACTCTCTTTATTACTTATTATATATAAGAACAGCCAGAGGGTGGGGTGGGGGGAAGGAGGAGGAGTGTAGTTGAGAAGGTGGGAGGGAAGGGATGGTAGGGGAAAAACAAAGGAGGAGGCAACAATGCTTGGTTAAGAAATGTACTCATTACCTTGCTCTTGTAACTGTAACCCCTCTGTACAGTATTTTCACAATTTAAAAAAAACTTATTTTTTTAAAATAAGAACAGCTAGCAACTATATTAACACTAATTTGCAAACATGCTTTTTTGTTTTGAGACAAGGACTCGCAATGTTGCCCAGGCTTTCCAGAATTGTCGGGCTTACCCCATTCTCTTGCCTCAGCCTCCAGAGGAGCTGGGACTACTTTAATAAGCATAATACAAGCATATCTAAAGCTTGATAGACTTGGTACTACTGTTTTTTTGTTTTTTGTTTTGTTTTGGTTTTTTTTTGTCATAGGGCCTGAACTCTGGGCCTGGGCGCTGTTCCTCAGCTCTTCAGCTCAAGGCTAGCGCTCTACCGCTTGAGCCACAGTGCCACTTCCGGCTTTTTCTGTTTATGTGGTGCTGAGGAATCGAACCCAGGGCCTTATGCATGCAAGGCAAGCTCTCTCTATCACTGAGCCACCTTCTCAGCCCGCGGTACTACTTTTTGAGGTTATTTCTTAAAACAGGAGTAAATGATAGTTGTATTTTAGTTTCACTTAATGTCTGAGAGGCTTTGAAGGTGGAGGACTGTTGATACTTTTAAAATCCTTCACTGAATTTAAATGTCCTGGGGCTCCGCCAGATGTGATTTCTTCCTTTACACTAACTGTTTACAAAAGAACCCATTTTAAATAGTAATTTCAATCTTCAAAAATAATTTATTACAATACTTTATTTCTTGGCTTCCAACTGTGATCCTCAGATCTCAACTTCCTGATAAGCTAGGATTACAGACATGAGACACCAGCACCCAGCTATTTGAAATTTTTTGTAATCGTTGTGGGTCATGAACTCAGGGCCTGGATATCGTCCCTGAGCTTTTTCGATTAAGGCTAGCGCTCTACCAGCTCCACTTCCAATTTTCTGGTGGTTAATTGGAGATAACTGTCTTTCGGACTTTCCTGTCCCAGCTGGCTTTGAATCGTGAACCTCAGATCTCTGCCTCTTGAGTTGTTAGGATTACAGGCAAACACCGGCTACGTGTGTGTGTGTGTTTTAGAGCTTTAAGTCAGGACGTCGGCGCTGTCCCTCAAGCTTTTTTGCTCAAGGCTGGCCTCTACCTCTTGACGCATCCCCGCCTCTGTTTTTTCCTTGGTTAATTGAAAATAAGTTTCTGGGACTTTCTTGCCCATTTTGTCTTCAAACTACGCTCCTTTTCAGCCTTCCGAGTAGCATACGATTATAGGTAAGTCACCAGCGCCCAACTATAATTGTTTTCATAACAGGAAACTACGAAAAGTATTCATGTCTCTGCCTTTATCTCCACCCTTTCTCCCCCAAAAGGAAGCTAGCAAGAAAAAGCGAAGGCAAAGCCGGATTCAAGGTTACAGAACGTCTACATTACAGTGGAGTGAAAAATAAATACAGTTCTTGATTGGCTACGTTTTGCAAACACCCAATGGGCGAAAGAACTGTACCCAAAAAAAATGCCAAGGCCTGTGTGACCCCTGCACTCAGGAACAGCAGGTGGCCGGATGCCAGCAGCACACTCCGGTCCCGCGCCGGCAGATGCTACAGAAGAGCGCCGAGCAGCCTCCACGGTGGCACCCGCACTATTTCCCGCGGCAGGCTCTCGGGAGGAGAGCCAGGGAGCCCCGACACCGGCTGCTGAGGTTTTATGTTGGTAATGAGTTGGATTTTTGCGGGGGTGGAGGGGTCGGTCGTGGGGCTTGAACTCTGGGCCTGGGCGCTGTCCCTCAGCTCTTCAGCCCAAGGCTCGCTTGAGCCACGGCGCCACTTCCGGTTTTCTAGTGGTTTCTTGGAGATCAGAGTCTCACGGGCTTTCCAGCCCGGGCTGGCTTTGAACCGCGATCCTAAGGTCTCAGCTTCCCGGGTAGCTAGGATTACAGGCGTGAGCCACTGGTCCCGGGATCCCCCCCCTTCTGTCCCCCCCATCAGCTGTTCCCAAGGCAGCGTAGCCGGTGACGATTCTCCAGCTCTCGCGAGGACAGCGAGCCGCGAACACAGACCGACGGCACCGACCGGTCGGCCGGGCTCCGGCCCCGCGATGCGCGCCGGCTCTGCGTCCCCAAAGGTCAAAGCCGGGACCCTTTTTTCACGGGTGCGTAAATGCTCGGGCTCGGCTCGGCTCCCCGGCCTCAGGTCCCCCCGGTCCCGCCACCCAGCCGGGCCGAGCGGTGCCCGGTTGCTCATTACCTTCCTTTCCGCGCAGATCCCGGCGCCGGGCCGCCCCCCGCTGTCGCCGACTTTGGCGGGCATCTCGAGACTGCCTTTGTCAGGGCCCTCTGACCGGCTCGAGCTGCCATGTTCATCTTCCCAAAGCCGGTTGTCCCTCCGGGACCGGGCCCCCGGCGCCGCCCTAGGCCTGGCCCGGCTAGCCGGCTTCGGAGTCTTCCAGCCAATAGGCGGGCCTGGACAGCTGCCAGACACGCCCTTTGACCCCTCCCTGATTGCGTCAAACCGACGCACGCTCCCACCGCCTTGGAGCCTATGGAAAACGCCTCGTGTTCCTGACGGCCAATTAGAGGGCGTACAGAGCCTGCAGGACACACCCCCTGGCTCCTGCCACTCGCTCGTGCACTTACGTAACACGTTGACCGTTTGTCCCACCTTCTGAGCAGGAACTCTTTTTCCGGATTGGCCGACAGCCTCGAGTTTGCCAGTGAGCCGTGGCGGATTGAGAATCCCTGGCACGCCCTTTTCCCCGTGGAAACCTTGATCTGATTATGTAACTGTCTAGCCTCGTGAGTGTCGACCTGGACATTTGTTATCGATTCTGGCTGCGGAGACTGGCAGGGTCCTGTTCGTTAATGATTGTTAAAATACCTGCTGTGCTTAACCCAAGGGTTGTTGCTAGGGCAACATGAGGTCAGGCTGTAAGGCAAGGCTGTTATCTAACAGCTGTACCCCCTGCAAGAAGTGTTAATTTATGAATTTCCCTTATTCCATACAAAAGACAACCTATGCATTAGTTCACTCATTTCAGGAATGAGTGCACATTACTTTCCCATTTATTCCCAGGTCCTTATTTAACATACAAAAGGCCATAGGTAACTGAAAAGTGAGGATAGTAGTACTAGGTGTTTAGTATAGTTTTAATCGATCCAAATATTTGGGGGAAAACCTACTGTTCTACAGCGAGAAAACAGAGAAGCACCCCCCCCTTTCTTTTTTGTTTGCTGATCGTGGGGCCTGAACTCTGGGCGCTGCCCCTCAGCTCTTCAGCTCAGCATTCTACCACTTGAGGCACAGTGCCACTTCCGGCTTTTTCTGCTTATGTGGTGCTGAGGAATCGAACCCAGAGCCTCACGCATGCAAGGCAAGCACTCTACTACTGATCCACCTTCCCAGCCCAAGAAGGCACATTTTGAGAGGTCGAATCGGCAGTCTATTAAAGGGCTGGCTACTGTATGGTGGAGTCCTGTCCCAAAGACCTGCTGCCCAGATCAGACCTTGCACCAAGCTTTTAAAGACAAAAATCACATGTTGGGGTAGAGACTAAGCCTTAACAAAAGTATTATACACAGGCAGAGCAAACTATCCAGGGGAACAATAAGGGACAATCAGGACCCCAATTATCTAGGGTAATCATGATTTTCCTGGAGTCCTACAACTCATGACATATTTGCAATCCAAAGAATGTCCTCTGTTAACCTCTAGCGTTCTCCGAAAGGCTACATTGTCTATTAACTTTATTAAGATGCCAAGCTCCAGTCTCCTTATTTCATTACTAGGTGCTGGAGAAGTGAATAAAAGTCCAGTCATAGAGCTGATGCTCTAGTGGGGAAAGTATGTAATATTACTATATATAGTATGTATTATCTAATAGTATTAGTATGTAAATAATATGCAATTATTATATATAATACAAAAAAGCTGGGAATGTGGCTTAGAGGTAGAGTGCTTGCCTAGCATACATGAAGCCATGGGTTCGATTCTTCAGTACACATAAACAGAAAAAGCCGGAAGTGGTGCTGTGGCTCAAGGAGTAGAGTGTTAGCCTTGAGCAAAAAAAACCCTCAGGGTCAGTGCCCAGCTTCTGAGTTCAAGCCCCAGAACTGGCAAATAATAATTATTATATTAGTATAAATTGTCAGATAATTATATATACTGGAGAATAAAAATTATATATACTGGAGAATAAAAAAAAAAGCAGGACGGGCTGGGAAGGTGGCTCAGTGGTAGAGCGTTTGCCTTGCATGCCTGAGGCCCTGGGTTCGATTCCTCAGCACCACATAAGCAAAAAGAAAAAAGCAGGAAGTGGCACTGTGGCTCAAGTGGTAGAGGGCTAGCCTTGAGCTGAAGAGCTGAGGGACAGCGCCCAGGGCTAGAGTTCAGGCCCCATGACCGGACCCAACCCACCCCCCCAAAAAAAGCAGGAGAATAATAAATAAAGTGGTACTGTAATGAGGGGAGGGGTGGGGATGCGGTAATCAGCTTGGCCTTGGCCCAGCCCACAGGAGGGGGCGGGCATCAGGAGGCTGACATCACGGGGCGTGCCGCCGAGAGGGGGCGGGGCGTGTGCTGTTTGGGATTGAACAGGGGGCAGTTGGGGGAGAAGCATGAATGGCAGTTGGAAACCATTAGAGAGAGAGAGAGAGTGTGTGTGTGTTGCAGTCTATAGGCTGCGTTCTGAGGATGAGGAGTAGGCGTAGGAGTAGGGGAAAGACTGAGAGTCCTGTTGGAAACCATTAGAGAGAGTGTGTGTGTGTGTGTGTGTGTGTGTGTGTGTCAGGGCAAGATTCCTAGAGAGGGCTTGGTTCAATTCCTCAGCACCACATAAGCAGAAAAGGCCAGAAGTGGCGCTGTGGCTCAAGTGGTAGATCGCTAGCCTTGAGCTGAAGAGCTGAGGGACAGCGCCCAGGCCCAGAGTTCAAGCCCCACAACTGACCAAAAAAAAAAAAGATTCCTAGAGAGGGGGCCTCCTCAAGGGGCCGTTTGGGACCTTCTCCAGAGGTCAGTTGGGGCCTCCTTGAGGGGCCATTTGGGACATAGCTCTAGAGAGGCCCGTGGAAAGAAACCTCCCGGAGCAGAGCAGGGCAGACCTGTGGAGAGTGGAGAGGCCTGCAGAGAAGGAGGAAGGGAAGAAAAGGAAAAGCCTTCCCCTTTGGAGGTTCAGAGCTTTGAAGGTCTGTGGTTAGAGGTTTGAAGACTGACTAGTGGTTTGCAAACCAACTAATAAAGGTCGGGGGGATTAGGGCTGCCCATTGGAGGCTTGGAGGTTTAGTGGTTGAGGCTGCTCTTGGTTCTGGGTATCTAGCCCAGGACAAGGTAGTTGCAGACCCCCTTTCTGGTGTAAATAGTGTAAATAAATTTGTTATCTTTAACTATGCCTTGATGGATTGTCTCACTTTTTTTTTTTTTTTTTGTGGTCGTGGGGCTTGAATTCTGGGCCTGGGCACTGTCCCTCAGCTCTTCAGATCAAGGCGAGCACTCTACCACTTGAGCCACAGCACCACTTCTGGTTTTCTAGTGGTTAATTGGAGATAAGAGTCTCATGGACTTTTCTGCCCGGGCTGGCTTTGAACCATGATCCTCAGATCTCAGCCTCCTTAGTAGCTAGGATTACAGGCATGAGCCACCGGCGCCTGGCTGTCTCATTCTTTTGAGGTCATAAGTGTACCTACCTGTAATTCCAACACTGTACAGTCTGAAGGAGGAGGATTGAGTTGTAGACCACCCTGTGTGCTACTTAGTGACACTTATCTCTAAACAAGTAATTAAATCAGGGCAAGGCAACAAAGGTATAAGGTGGCTGCTATTTTGTAACAGGGTCTCTTCTGTTCCTTAGGCTGGCTTTGAGTTCCTGGGCTCAAGGGATTTGCTTGCTTCATGCTCCAAGTTGCTGGGGTGTTTAGTTGGGGATTATTTTATATAAGTAGCTTACATAGGCATCTGATATAATACTGAATAAAAGTCAAAGAAGTGAGGACATAAACTATGTGTATTTGGAGAGAACAACAAATGCAAAGGCCCTAGGCAGGGACAATCTGCCTGTGTATTAGGAAGAGGGTACAGTTTGAAAGAAATTGAGAGGAAGAAAGTGGTAGGAAATGCAGTTAGAAATGTGAGGAAGTTTTACTATGGTACCTAAATAGCCATAGTACTAACTCCTATCCCCTAGAATTCATTTTTTGTCTTTTTTTTTGTCAGTCATAGGGCTTGAACTCTGGGCCTTGGAGCTGTCTCTGAGCTTTTCAGCTCAAGGCAAGTGCTCTACCACTGGAGCTACAGAACCACTTCCAGTTTTCTGGTGATTAATTGACTTGCCAGGTATTGGTGGCTCACGCCTGTAATCCTAGTTACTCAGGAGGCTGACATCAGAGGATCCCAGTTCAAAGCCAGCTGGGGCAGGAAAAGTCCAAGTCCATTTTCCTGCCTGGACTGGCTTTGAATTGCAATCCTCCAATCTCAGCCTCCTAAGTAGCTAGAATTACAGGCATGAGCCACCTGCACCTGGCTCCTAGAATTTTTTTTTTCTTGTTAGTTTTGTGGGGCTTGAACTCAGGGCCTGGGTGCTGTCCCTGAACATTTTTTGCTAAAGGCTAGCACTCTACCAGTTTGAGCCACAGCTCCACTTCCAGTTTTCTGGTGGGTAATTGGAGATAAGAGACTCAGACTTTCCTGCCTGAGCTGGTTTTGAACCACCATCTTCAGATCTTGGCCTCCTAAAAATTCTTTTTTTTTTTGTATGTGGTGGGACTTGAACTATGGGCCTGAGCACTTCAGTTCAAGGCTAGCACTCTACCACTTGAGTCACAGTGCCACTTCCAGTTTTCTGGTGGTTAATTGGAGATAAGAGTCTCATGGGCTTTCTTGCCCCGGCTGGCTTTGAACTGTGATCCTCAGATCTCAGCCTCTTGAATAGCTAGGATTACAGGCGTGAACCACTGGTGCTGAGCCTCAATCCTAGAACTTTTTTTTTTGTCAGTTATGGGGCTTGAACTCTGTGCCTGGATGCTCTCAGCTCTTCAGCTCAAGGCTAGCACTCTACCACTTGAGCCACAGCGCCACTTAAGGCTTTTCTCCTTATGTGGTGCTGAGGAATTAAACCTAGGGCTTCATGAATGTGAGGCAAGCACTCTACCACTTCCCAGTCCTCAAGCCTAGAATTCTTTTTTTTTTCTGGTGGGTTTTTTTTTAATTGTGATTAATTTCCCAAATTTCACAGTATTGTGGGATAGTGATGCTCATTTAAAGTCACAAACTCATTCTAACTTTCCTGGAACAAATTGTCTATCATAGTCTATTACATATAACGGCGTACACATATACACCATACATGTGATCAGCAGCATGGGGTTATTTAGTAGTGGTTCAACCTGATAAGTGGAAGTTCTTTGTTTCTTAAGTCCTGTTAATTTTGTTATATCACCTAACATTTTGGATTTAACATCCACTTATCAGGGAGACCATGTACCATTTGTCTCTTTGCTCTTGGCTTACCTCGCTCAACATTTCTTCTAGCTCCATCCATTTCCCTGCAAATGCCTTAATTTGTCATTTCTAATGGCTGTATAATATTCCATTATGTATAGATACCACAATTTTTGGATCCATTCATCTGTGGTTGGGCATCTGGGTTGTTTCCATATCCTAGCTATTGTGAACAGTGCTGCAATAAACATGGAGGTGCATATGTCCTTGTATACTGGTTCCTGCTGTTCAGGATAGATGCCTAGAAGTGGTATGACTGGGTCATAAAGGAGGTCAATATTTAGCTTTCTGAGAACTCTCCAGACTGCTTTCCAAAGTGGTTATATAAGTGTACATTCCCACCAGTAGTGTAATAGGGTTCCTCTTTCTCTGCATTCCCTCCAGCATTTGATTTGTGGATGTGGGACATTCTGACTGGGGTAAGGTGGTATCTCAGGGTTGTCTTTATTTGCATTTCCTTCACCACCAGGGATGATGAACATTTCCTCATGTGTTTCTTTGCCATTTTTATTTCTTCACCTGAGACATCTCTCTTTAGTTCAAGCCTAGAATTCTTTAACTATTCCATGTCTCACAGACTTGCTTC